GGAATAGGTGTTGGCTTTTGCTCTACTGTAGGTGCTTGTTTTTGTTCTGCTAGAGGTGTTGGTTTCTGCTGTGCTGGAACAGGTGTTGGTTTCTGTTGTGCTGGAGCAGGTGTTGGTTTTAGCTCTACTTGAGGTGTTGGTTTTTGCTCTACCGGAGCAGGTGTTGGTTTCTGTTGTGCTGGAGCAGGTGTTGGTTTTAGCTCTACTTGAGGTGTTGGTTTTTGCTCTACCGGAGCAGGTGTTGGTTTTTGTTGTGCTGGAGCAGGTGTTGGTTTTAGCTCTACTTGAGGTGTTGGTTTTTGCTCTACCGGAGCAGGTGTTGGTTTCTGTTGTGCTGGAGCAGGTGTTGGTTTTAGCTGTACTTGAGGTGTTGGTTTTTGCTCTACCGGAGCAGGTGTTGGTTTTTGTTGTGCTGGAGCAGGTGTTGGTTTTAGCTCTACTTGAGGTGTTGGTTTTTGCTCTACCGGAGCAGGTGTTGGTTTCTGTTGTGCTGGAGCAGGTGTTGGTTTTAGCTCTGCTTGAGGTGTTGGTTTTTGCTCTACCGGAGCAGGTGTTGGTTTCTGTTGTACTGGAGCAGGTGTTGGTTTAAGCTGTACTTGAGGTGTTGGTTTTTGCTCTACCGGAGCAGGTGTTGGTTTCTGATGTGCTGAAGCAGGTGTTGGTTTAAGCTCTATTTGAGCAGGTATTGGTTTTAGCTCTACTGGAGCAGGTGTTGGTTTAAGCTCTACTTGAGCAGGGGTTGGTTTTTGTTGTGCTGGAGCAGGTGTTGGTTTCTGTTGTGCTGGAGCAGGTGTAGGTTTCTGCTGTGCTGGAGCAGGTGTTGGTTTTGGCTCAAGCTGAGCAGGTATTGGTTTTGGCTCAAGCTGAGCAGGTGTTGGTTTTTGTTCTGCTGGAACAGATGTTGGTTTTTCCTCTACTGCAGGTGTTGGTTTCTGTTGTGCTGGAATAGGTGTCGGTTTTAATTGTGCTGGGGCTGGTTTCAGTTTCTGCTCCACTTGTGCTGGAGCTGGTGTTGGTTTAAGCTCTACTGTAGCAGGTGTTGGTTTTAGCTCTACTGTAGCAGGTGTTGGTTTTAGCTCTACTGGAGCAGGTGTTGGTTTTAGCTCTACTGGTTCAGGTGTTGGTTTTAGCTCTACTAGAGCAGTTTTTTGTTGTGCTGGAGCAGGTGTTGGTTTCTGTTGTGCTGGAGCAGGTGTTGGTTTAAGCTCTATTTGAGCAGGTGTTGGTTTCTGTTGTGCTGGAACTGGTGTTGGTTTCTGCTGTGCTGGAGCAGGTGTTGGTTTTGGCTCAACCTGAGCAGGTGTTGGCTTTTGCTCTAATAGAACAGATGTTTTTTCCTCTCCTGCAGGTGTTGGTTTCTGTTGTGCTGGAATAAGTGTTGGTTTCAATTGTGCTGGAGCAGGTGTTTGTTTTTGCTCTACAGGAACAGGTGTTGGTTTTTGTTCTACTTGAGCAGGTGTTGGTTTCTGTTGTGCTGGAGTAGGTGTTGGCTTTTGCTCTACTGAGACAAATGTTTTTTCCTCTACTGCAGGTGTTGGTTTCTGATGTGCTGGAATAGGTGTTGGTTTTAATTGTGCTGGAGCTTGTGTTGGTTTTTGCTCCACTGGAGCAGGTGTTGGTTTCTGTTGTGCTGGAGTAGGTGTTGGCTTTTGCTCTACTGGGACAAATGTTTTTTCCTCTACTGCAGGTGTTGGTTTCTGATGTGCTGGAATAGGTGTTGGTTTTAATTGTGTTGGAGCTGATGCTGGTATCTGCTCCACTGGAGCAGGTGTTGGTTTTTGCTCCACTGGAGCTGGTGTTGGTTTTTGCTCTACTGGAGCTGGTGTTGGTTTTTGCTCCACTGGAGCAGGTGTTGGTTTCTGATGTGCTGGAATAGATGTCGGTTTTAATTGTGTTGGAGCTGATATTGGTTTTTGCTCCACTGGAGCAGGTGTTGGTTTTTGCTCTACTAGAATAGGTGTCGGTTTTAACTGTGCTGGAGCTGGTGTCAGATTTTGCTCCACTGGAGCAGGTGTTGGTTTCTGTTGTGCTGGAGTAGGTGTAGTATTTTGCTTATTCTGAGCAGGTTTTGTTGGTGTTTGCTCTACTTGAACAGGTGTTGGTTTCTGTTGTGCTGGAGCAAGTGCTGATTTTGGCTCTACTGGAGCAGGTATTGATTTTTGCTCTACTGGAGCAGGTGTTAGTTTTTGCTCTATTGGAACAGGTGTTGGTGTTTGCTCTACTTGAGCAGGTGTTGGTTTCTGTTGTGCTGAAATAAGTGTTGGCTTCAGTTGTGTTGGACCAGGTGTTGGTTTTTGCTCTACAGGGATAGATGGTGGTGTTTGCTCTACTTGAGGTGTTTTTTGCTCTACTGGAGCAGGTGTTGGTTTCTGATGTGCTGGTACAAGTGTTTGTTTTTCCTCTACTGGAATGGGTGTTCGTCTTTCCTCTACTGGAGCAGGTGTTGGTTTCAGCTGTGCTGAAGCAGCTGTTGGTTTTTGCTCTACTGAAACAAGTGTTGGTGTTTGCTGTACTGGAGTGAATGTAGGTTTTTCCTCTACTGAAGGTGTTGGTTTCAGCTGTACTGGGACAGGTGTTTTATGCTCTCTTGGAATGGGTTTTGACTTTTGCTCTACTGGAGCTGGTGTTGTTTTCTGTTCTGGAGCAGGTTTTAGTTCTGGCTCCACTTGAGTAGGTGTCAGTTTATGCTCTATTAGTGCAGGTGTTGATGTTTGCTCTTCTGGAGCAGGTGTTGGCTTTTGATCTGTTGGAGCAAGTGTTTGTTTCAGGTGTACTGATTTTGGTTGTGATGTAAATGTAAGTGATTTGCAGCAGATTTTTTGGAGCAGGTGTTACATTTTGTTGTGGTGAAACATGTGTAGGTGTTAATTGTATGATGGATGGTGTTTGTTGTTTTATCTACTGTTGCAACTTTTGAAACAGGTATATGTATTTGCTCTGCTGGGGGAATTGTTGGTATCAATTGTACTGGACTGGCTGATTTTTGCTGTGATGAGCCAAATGGCTGGTAATTGGTGATTTTTTAAAATCTAATGTTGCAAGTGTTGGTTTCTGTTGTGCTATAGTAGTTGTTTTTCTGTGCTAGCTGGTAGGTCTTTGCTCTGTTGGAGTAGGTATTGGTTTTGGTTGTGCAAGTGAGTTTCAGGGTCTCTTACAGTAGGCTTTAGTTTTGTAACTATTGATGGGACATGTTTTAGTGTTTTATCTATTGGATGTGTGTGTTATACCAAACTAGGCATTGATTTTTGTTGTGTGGGGAAGAGGTGTCTGATTTTGTTCTTATGGTGAGGGAGCTGTAATTAGATTTGTTTGAAGTTTTTATTGTATTGTCTTTTTTGTGTGTACTCTGGTAAGTTTTATTTTATTTTTTATGGGTGTGTTGGTATCATATTTTAGACTACTGATCAAAGCAATGCTAATATGGATTGTGTGCTGTTGTCAAATCTTACAGAAACTACAATTCTGACAGAGCTGGCTTAATATTTTTTACTAAACTTGGTGTTTAGGGGGAATTGTTTTTTATCATTAGGGATTTGTATCAAACATATATGCATTCACAGATTAATGTTTATCTGTAAGCAATTAGGGAATCAGATACTGAATTTACCACCCCCGCTCCTCAAAAAAAAAAAAAAAAAACTCACTTGTATGAAATAACAGGGAGGAAAGATCTACAGCTGACATTGGAAAAAAATATGCAGAATAACCTACATTCATGAAAAATCATGAATCTAACCATATTCAGTGGTAATGATGAATAGTTTGTTGTATCATATTAAAACAAGAAATATCTTATTCTAATTCTTTTTGGTTTTGGACGAGTCTAAAAAAGAAAAAAGAATAAATTCCAAACTATTCATTGGTAATGGATGAAATATTTCAGGCAATATATTTCTTAATTCATTAAAGCTTTACCTTACTATCATTTCAGATATTGACAATAACTTCTTTATACCAATATATAAAGTTTGATCAAATAATTCTTTGAGATCTATGTGTCAATGCTAGACATGAAATCCTGTAGGATGGTAGATCTTCAGAACCCAAACTGATTACCAAAGCAAATCCTGGGTTCAGTTATTTACAGAAGCAAATGAACTGTCTCTACTGATATTTCAAATTAGTGAGGTTCATGGTGTACGGGTATATTTAATATGCATTAATATAATTTAATATGATACAATGCTTACTATCTTTGCTAGATATTTAAGGGGAAACATTATATTTTCATAATGTTGGGTGGACTGCCAGCAAACTCCTTGAGTTGCATGCTTGTGTAGTTGATTTCATAGTGTTGAACTATTTGTTTGCATGTTTTAAAAGTATCAAGAGTACATATTCTGTAAGTGTAAGAGTAGGATTGTGTTTATGCTTATCATGATTATGTATACACTACTAGAATAATGTGTTTAAACAATAAACTAAAAATAATGAAAGGTCACTGAAATGTGTGCTGTAAAAAATGTTAACAAGAAAGAAGGCATAATCTTCATAAAAAAAAATGTTTGTGCAGTATAATAAACTGAGTAGGAATTAATAATTAGTAACTGCATTTTAATTACACACTGTATGGTCAGTAAAAGAGAAATAAAATCCTGTAATACTACATTAAATGAAGTTCTGTAAAAAGTTCTTTCTGGTACATTCTTTAATATCTCAATATAGTAAATAATTGTGCATATGTATAAAAAAAACTATAATAATGAGGTGTTTTGATAAAACTGTTCTCTGTATCACTGTGTAAGAATTAATCTCAAAAGGAATTTATATGGTTACAAATAAAAAGGGGCTTAATATTAATGTTAATTACCACAACTGCTGAGATGCTCTCCAGTACAGCCTCTGTCAGTCTACAGACTTTTGGAATATTAAATATGTCAAAATATTTCCCAGAGTTTATAAAAGGGATTTGAGAAATAGCAGCTTAAAAGAAAATGAAAAGGAATGTTTATAATTAAATGTAGAGAAGGAAGAAAGAGAAATCACTAAGCTGGCCTTACCTGTCCTGACTTCAGATACCTCAGCCATCTTCATCTCCTGCTCATGAATGACTTCCCAGGCCTGTTCTGCCAGCACCCTCTCTGTTTGGATCAGGTGGGTAGCCAAGGTCAGTCTTTACTTCCTTTATATTCTGCACAGTCCTCCTTACTCTTGAAACTTGAAGCTAACTACACTACTAATAACTCTAATATGCAACAAAAACCATTCCTTCTACAGTTTATGTTGATGTTTGCCTTGTTTGTAGGCATGTATGTAACTGGTGAAAATCTAAGGAAGAGGGTATATTGTACTTTATGTCTAAAAAATTTCCATTCTGCTTTGCTATATGCTATGACATCTTCCCTATTCATTTAAATACTCATGTACTGTAAATCCTGGCATCAAAATGGTATAAAAGTAGGTCTTCTTATATTCAAAATGTATGTAGAATGCACTGTTACTGGATATGTTCTTTGAGTCTCTCAACTGGTCTTAATATTTGAGAGATCAGAATCTATAATTCTGTTTACTATAATAAACATGAAACACATAGCTAAATGATGACTGCAATTTTCTATGACTCAAACAGACGATCCTTACCATAAGCCTTAATAACAAAGTTAGATATAACGTACCATCCTTAGCATCACGATAAGCCTCTTCAACCAGCACCTGAGCAACCATGACAGAATGGCCATGCTTCTCCACAATGTTGACAAGAGGTTGTTGGGTCTCAGGTTTCTTCAGTGTTGGTAGTTTACCAGCCACACATGATGCAATGATTTCCTCGGTCTGGATGCCCTTGTTCAACATCTGTGATACTTCGGTCAACTCCTGAGTGGTTGATGACCACTTGCCCATCTCACGCGGGATGACATCCTTGAAGAGCGTATCAGGCTTGACGTTCTTAGCATATTTAAGCATACGCAAGAAGGCCTTGAGACCAACAGGATGCTTCTTGGCCTGTTCCTGGATTTCTTCAGCCAGCACAATGGACACATTTCTTTGGTGACCAATGTACTCGCAAACCTTGACAAGAGCGCTCTGAATGTTTGGTTGTTGAAGGGCTTTGAACTCACCAGCACGGAACATTGACCAGATCTCATTGACTCTTACATTGTTCTTCAGGAGTGTATGAACCTTAGCCAATTCATGAATAATTTGCTCATCTTCAAAGAATTGAGGTGCAACCTCCCTGACAACTTCCTCTCCCTTGATGGAAGTCTCTGAAACTTTCACAAAGCATTTGACACCAGGGATCTGGTTTGGAGCAAATTCATTAGGCTCAAGTTCTGGGTAATTATCCTCAAATGAAACTGCTGATTTCCAGTTGCTATATAATTCAGCAACACAATGTTCCTTTGGAGTTTTCTTTACTTCCTTCACCTCTTCAACAACCTTAGGCTTCCAGACATTCCTTTTGGCATCCTCCAGCTCCTGCTGGCGCTGAGCCTGACGGTTCACCTTGTCTTGCTTAAGTCTGGCCATTGCTTCCTCATGCTCTTTCTTTTGCTTGAGTGAACGTTCTCTCTCCTTCTCCCTCATATGTTCAGCAGCATGTTGGATGTTCACAGCTGCATATCTCTCATTGCTTACCTTCAGCTTCTCTTCATATGTTAGTTCTGATTTAAAGAAAAATAACACAAAACTCAAAAAAATGATGATTACTTAAAGACTGATACCTTCCCTTTAAATATTAATTAACTAAAAATAACCCTCAAACAATTAGATTTAAAAAAGGAAGTGAACCAAAAAAATTAATAAATTAAAGCTGGTTGAAATTTTACATAATAAACTAAACATTTTGTCAGTAGGCCTACCATAAATTAATGATATTAGAATAAAAAAATATTTATTTTAAAGTAAACTATATATAAGTGGTAAATCATATAATGATTTAACTAAGAAAATGTATAATGTTTTGTATAATCATATATAACTTAAATGTTTGTAGCTGTATAGCTTTTCAAAATGGATTAAAGTAAATCAATACTGTAGTTTGGTAAGATGCATAATCAGTTAGCAAATAATATACTGAAGTAAAAAAAAAAAAAAAAATTCTACAAAATGTGTACTTTTGTGTCCTTACCAATGACATCAAGATGAGCTCTGGTAAAGACTTCTCCTTCAGAGTTTGCTGCACGGCAGGAATATTCTCCCCTAAATTCAGGTCTAGCTTCAACAATAGTTAACATTGCCTTATCATTGCGGACTCTCATCTGAAACATAAATCCCTCTTATTACCTATACAGTTTATATGTGAAATCATATCTATCTCAGTCTCTGACTATTTCTCTGCCTGCCTGCCTACCCTCTTGCTTTCTCTCTCTCTCTCTCTCTCTCTCTCTCTCTCTCTCTCTCTCTCTCTCTCTCTCTCTCTCTCTCC